CTGCAACAACAAGGCGCGATGCACAGGTGCCTACTTCTCACGCCCATTGGGACAATGTATGGTAAAGTAGTGTGAACATTAATTGGGAAAAGCTCATAAGACAACACCGAAAGTATCTCCTTGACGTTTATTTTGCTCTATCCAGTAGTTGCTACAACTACTTGCAGTAAACACCGGAGAAATAAGTATCCATAGGCGTGTGCGACCTATAAAGAGAGGGGACGAAGTTTATTTATGGTTTTGAAAGAGAATGAAAGTACATGTTTTCAGATATTTTTAATACATTGTGCCATATGCAGAATTGCCTGATGAGTTGGGGAACCAGAAGAAAGGAACCTCTTCCTCAAATGTAAAAACAATTTCCCAAAATGACATTACAAACGTGTGTACCCTGTGCAGAGCTCATGTTAAGTAGTGTGCGCATTAACTGTGACAAGTTAACTGTGATTGAATTTTAATTGTGCCCATTTATTATTATACAAGGTTTGTTCAAAAAAATACCCATACTGACATCATAACACAAAATGTACTTTACTTACAAGTTAAATGTCTGGATCCCCTTCCAAGTACTCTCCTTCCCAACACAAACACTGATCCCAATGGTGTTTCCACTTCTTGATACAATCCTGATACGTTTCTATTGTAATGTGCCTAAGCTTCTTCGTAGCATTTGCTATAATATCGGGAATCGTCTCAATACATGATCCTTTCAAGGATCTTTTGCGTTTGGGGAGCAAGAAAAAGTTACAAGAAGAAATATCAGGTGAGCACGAAGGGTGGGGAAGATCACTGATCGAGTTTATGGTCAAAAACTCACGAGTTTTGAGGGCTGGATGGGCTGGAGCGTTGTCATAATGGAAGAAACAGTCGCCACCCCTCCACATTTTTGGCCTTCTCCGACAGATCGCGTCTCTCAGATGTTTTAAAACTTCAATACAGTAATTTTGGTTCACTATGGTGCCGTCTGGGAGATACTCGTGGTGAACAACACCCTCAGCATATCAACTATCAGCATCACCTTGACCTTGGACCGAACTTGGCGAGCTTTTGGGTTCTGGGGGTCGTTTCACCCGTCCACTGGGACGATTGGACCTTTGTTTCAACGTCATAACCATAAAACCATCATTCATCACCGGTGATGATCTTTGACAAGACGTTTTTATCTTCTTCTAAATGATGAAGCAGTCCCTGGCAAAGCTTGGCACGATGGGAGTTTTGTTCCTCCGTCATCAGATAAAGCACAAATTTCGCAGCAATGCGGCGCATCTTTAATTTTCAGTCAAAACCTAGTGACAAGATCCAGCTAATATCTCACACTCTTCAGCAAGCTCCCTGACAGTAAGACGTCAATTTGCTCCTACCAGGGTATTGATTTTAAAGACGTGTCGTCAGTTGTCGTGGAAGGGCATCTAGAAAGCTCATCGTCTTCAATGGCCTGTCGACCATCTTTAAAACATTCATACAACTTGAAGCATGCCGTTCGTTTCATAGCAACATCTCGTAAGCTGGATTTAACACAAAATTTCACAACAAGTTTAGTTTCTCTTTCAGGTCATTCATTTTGAAATCCGACAAACGAAAAAATTGCACTTTACTGAAAACAACGTAGCAAATATAAGTGAAGATATCAATAATCAGAAAATAGCGTCATAATCAGCAGATCTGAACACTCCAAGCGACGTCAAGCGGATTCCCATGGAACCAACTGGAGATGCGCAATTCAAATGATCCGCATATTTTTTGAACAGACTGTGTATACTACAGTTAGAAGCTTACTATATATTAGTAACTAATATTCCTTTCATTTGCTGTAATGATCTTCTGATCACGAGCATATATTGTGGCATATATTCGAGCAAGTTAGAGCAAATATTTTTGGTTATTGGTTTTAGACCAGATTTGGCTTTTCTCTCTGGAAACAATGAGGTTGTATTATTATATGCCCCAATAAGTCTTGAAATACTAGATATTCCCACACCAACAACAGATACATTGCCCCTTATATTCATAGGTGTGTGTTCATGAAATAGCTAATTCTGCCTGCTTCAATGGTGAAAAGTATATTTAAAGACGAACAAAAGGTTTTCCTGTCGAGAGCACAGAAATTACACACATCCTGTTGTTGGTTGCGTAGGCTTCCGCAGACAGAGTTTGTGTTGTCTAGACTATCCGGGACGAGCCGCGTCATTGACATGGAGGCTAACGTTTCGGCCAGCGTATTGTGGCCTTCTTCAGAGTGCACGCTGACCGGGAGGTCCTATGCTGTAAGTCCCGACGGTAGCAGGACTAACGACACTAGCCCATGACCAGGAGGAACTCAACCGCGGTTTGGAGGAGAAATCGGCCGCCTGCTTCGATTGGTAGTTTTCCGTGGTTTCTCCGATCACCACCTGGCGAATGCCGGTGCACTACCGTAATAAACGGGTCATTAACTTCCTTGTCCTATCCTCCTACCTTACTTACGCACACTTACACGCACTGCTCTGCCACACGTGGTGGGAGACCAGTCGGGAGCAAAGATCTTTTCCTGGCTGCGGTGCCCCGCTGGTGGGAAAATACCTGGTTGGGGAAAAACCACTTACCGACCTTGGAAATCGACGCCATCAATCGACACTAACTAGGGAGTTGTGTGATGCCTAATGGAAACACTTCATGCTCTCTCCCTCACGCGAGGTGGCGTTGCGCAGGCGGCGACCTGTTCCAGCCCGAGCGTCCAGCACGCCAGGCAGCCTCCACCCCCGGCCCCGGCACCGGTCCTGCGCTCGCCACGGCCGCGCAACCCCCTAAGCCCTGGCCCTACGCGCAGGGCGTCATCACGGTACGCCCTTTGCACGCGGTCGCGATTTTGCAACACACCTTTTTTGTGACATAATCAATTATTTTCGCGTAAAAATATATTGAGTGCCAAATTGCTATTTTTCCATACGCAAAATGTCGACTTAGAAAAACGCTCTGGAAGTAACTGGGTTAATCAAGAATAGTTTCAAAAGTGCCCTAAATTAGTATCAACTCTATATCGTCTTTAACGAGGCGCTATACTTCAAGGTTTAAATAAATTTAACAAACTCACGTTATTTCTTCTATTAAAATACTATACAGTATCCATTATCAAAATATATTAAATCTTAAAAACTAATTCAAAAGTAAAGTATTGAAGTTAATTGTAATACAATAAATAAAAATCAAAATAAAAAAATCTGATTGAAATGTAAATTAACATTTTTTATTTTTTAAATCATTTTTATCAATTTTATGGCGAGTAACTTTGATCTTAGAACGTTTCAAAGTTAACGAGTGTGTTGCAACCTTCCCCTGTGGTGTCTCGCCGGCTGGTGCTACGAGCAGGACCGCGCGCCGGCGCACCTGTTCGTGGTGGAGGAGGTGCCGCTGGTGGCGCAGCCAGCCGGGCGCGGCTTGTCTGAGGAGGCGGAGAAGCAGGTAGGGGAAGGGGCGGGGCCGGGCGTCATGGCTGACCTGGCGCAGCGCAGGCGCTACACGGGCGCGGCGGCCGAGCAGCGCCTGCGCCAGATCAAGCAGCTCAACGACACGGAATAGCCCTGGTGCCCCCCAGGGGCCAAAGACAAACCCCACCCGTTTGCCGATCAAGGAAACATTGATATTTAATGCTTACTGACAATTACTGTAATGTCATTCTTACAATACATATATAAATCATATACGTAATGTTCCCTTTATACTTTTAGTATGTTTACAAAGTTACTCATGCCTAAAACAAGTTACATGCAAGTTATACGCATTAAAGACCTAGAATTTTGAGTACAAAAACAATGTGTATTTTCTTCGAACAACTCGTGGTTCCTTAATATTGCCACTCAGACTCAAACATGGAGTGACGAGGTGTTCCTGAAAGGTGAAATCCACGATGTCTTAAGTCACTTCCTGTTGCCTCTTTCTGAATTGCAGGAGACATGAGGATAACGGGAATGTAGATGTAAAATTGTAGAGTTTTGTATGAAATAAATGTATTTATTGTTATTTCATTGTAATGTTAATATAATATTTAATTTTTCCTTTATATTTTTAATATGCACTTTTAATGCTCAGGACACTAAACAATTTGCAGTAAGATTTTCTTCAAATAAAATTCTTTAATTTTACATTACAACATAACATTTTTCCAATCTCTCATGTTTCCTTAGCAACTACATTAAGATTTTATGATTTTAATCAATTTAAAATGTTAATGAATTTTAGACACGCAAGCTTTAAATGAAGACTTACAGAATTTTTGCAAACAATGGTGAGGCGTGAGCAGTTGAATAAATCACTTATTCACAAAAAGACATAACATTCAAGACATACAACATTCTTCACAATTCAGGGATGATTCCTATTCCAGGAATAAAGGAAAAAATAAATATACGCATACATATTTGAATTTTGTATTGTTTTCTTTTTTAGAACACAAACGTTTTGGGTGAAAATGAAAAAGTACAGAGTGATATTCTGCATTACTTTAGTTTCCATTACTATGATACATTTTAAATAGAAGAGAACGCTATACGTTTCACCTTGAGAAAACTGAAATGAAACATCAAGAAAAATAACTAAAATAATAAATACAAAACACTTTAATATTCCTCCCAGAATATCAGACAATATTTTTATAAGGGTTCAGAACTGGTAACAAATAAAGAAAATCCATTATCTTGACTTAGCTCTCTTTATATTCTTGATTTCTGAACAAGCATCTCACGTCGAACACAGTGTCTTCCAGATTTCAGATGTATAGAAGCAATGCTCACTTTTCTTGAACCTTGTAAAACATTCTGCAATCAATGCAAACGTTTCGTTTTAGTATAACAGTATAATCTTATATTCAAACAATCGTCCTGACATGCGTTTCAAAACTTACTTCACAGGCGTGATTTTCCCTCGTACGAACGCTAAGAGGGAATAGGGAAGTGGGTCTCCTCGTCATGTTGCCAGATGACTCCCTGCTCCCGCCTCTGGCCTCACAGATGAGCAGCCTCTCTTCTCTACAGAGCATCTTCAGTCGCCCCCGCCCGTGAAGGTGGGCGAGGGATTCGGACCTCTCCAAGCCCAGTCCCGCCCCTGCGGTCGGGCCTCACCTCCTTATCCGGCTGGCTGCAGCCACCACCAGCCCATGCGATCAGCATCGGCCACGCAGTAACAGATTGAACACAGGACGAAGCCATCCTCCACAAACGGTTGTGTCGAGGGAGAGAGTCAGTGCTCTTATGGGAAATATTAAAAAGGGTCGAGAATTCAGAAGGGCCGGTGTCCAAATCGACGTCGTCGCAGGAACATCTCAGGTTGGAAGAAAAACGAAGGAAAACATCCAAGATACTGCAGAAAGTGGAAATGTAAAAAAAAATCGATAATACGATTCGTAGAAAAACGAGGAAATGGAGTAGTTTTAAGGAACCGTGGGTTTAAGAGATAGCAAAAAATCTTTGAAATAAAATATCGGTAGATGGAGAATTTTGATATAACGGAATAATTGCGTTGACCACAACCATATGACGCAGTTTTAGAAGGCAGTGTTAAGGTATAAAATTGAATAAAACGGGACAAGTATACAATTTAATAAGCATTTATCTTTATGAGAGAAAATTTTGAGTAAATGGAACGTGTGTGTTTGGCATTGTAGCAAGCCGACTACTCGTATTACTGAAGGATGTAAATGCAGGAAAGGCACGACTTAGTTCGCCAGAAAGTTTTACAGACTTGACACACAAGACGTTGAACCTGTAACAAAATCATACAATTTTTTAAAAAAAATATTCAAAGTACGATTCTTAAAAAAAAATAATTTTGTACCTTACGTACCACATTATCCTGCACCATATCGGCCATATCGGGTGGTTTGTGGAGCATCTTAACGCCGTTTTCCTGAGCGTTTGGGGCAGTTCCTTGACAATTGCGAAATTATGCACCGGGAGCACTCAGTCCGCTTCGCTAGCCACTGCAGATTGACAGAACGTGCAACGCTTGACATACCATGTTCTAAATTGAGGTTCAGGTTGCGGAGTTTGCGCACTCTTCGCCCATCCTTCGTCCTGCCGGTTTTGGAGAATCGCTTTGCAGGACGATGCAGTCGACACCTTTTCAGAGTCACTTTCCTCGTTGGCCAATTGACGTTCCTCCATCGGTAGGGACATCACCTCGGCTCTGAATATCGTCATTCTCCACCACACCACCTGGCAACAACTCAACACACATAGCATCTACCACACTCAAGCCCAATGTGTAACAATTGTACAGAGGAATATTCAAAATTGCCTTTAGATCTCGAAGTCAGCTACTTCACAGATGAGAAATCTTGCTAGCGAAGTTTAATAAGCGTCTCATGGTGACAAAACTTCAGATACATTCAAGAACTGCCAGCTTTCCACTACGATGCCGCAAATTCTCCGAGCAAGAGCGATTTCTCCCACTCCAGGAGACGGAACGATAATTTCCCTTAACCCATCGTGTGGTTGGTTTCAAAAGAGCCACACGTAGCACATTATCAATAGTAAATACATTATTCTGCAGCAACAATATTTAAACAATTTAATGTGGAGAATGCATTCCGTCATAAGGCAGTGTTTCGTATGAATCTTTTTCTTTTTGCTGCGTAATATTTCTTTGGTATTTTAAAAATCATTGCAATTTCCAAATATTTTCCTCAGAAATGGAAAAAAATACGAAAAAAGTTTCGCCCTGTGGATCCGAAAGCAATTTTGAAACATTATGTGCATTTAAAATGTGTTTTTCATATTTTGAGACATACCTCGTTCAATATATCATCCTTGAAGATGATAATGATGCAAAAAGGAAAGCGATGTTTCTCAGAAGTTGATGCTCATCGTGCTCGGCTGTTTGGAAAGCCTTTTGTGGTAGAACCACATTAAAATTTAGTAGACTATGCAGCATCCGATGATATCAAACGGAAAGAAATTTCGAGATTCTCTTTCTATTTGGCAAGTGTGCCTCGAACGGATTCTATTGGCAATGTTTAATAATATATTGAAAGCACTCCACAACTTATGAAAATAGGTACTCCAAGTTGCAAATATGTATATGGCCTCTGATGTTAGCTGGGACAACTGAAGACAACTACATCAAAATAAAACATTACATAAGTTTTAATTAATTTTACAATTTTATCGCAAAGAGAAGATGTTGAGGAAATAATTAACATTATTGTTAACTTTCTTATACCCCATTCGATGAATTTTTAAAGTATAAGCACTTAAAAAAGCTTATACGTACCTTTAAAGATGTTTTATCTCTGAAAACCTCTTTTGCTACTAAATATCTCGCAATTATTAAAAAATAAGCCGTTTTATCATTCTAAGTTATCTAAATTTTCAGAGTTATCCTTTTTGCTCCGGTGACACTAGTGACTTTCTTATTGAAAACTAAGCCCCCACTGTAAAAATTGACATACGTTCTGTTGTTCCAGAATCGGTAAATATCTGCCCTATTACGTCTGGATGTTTCCTTTTCTCTTTCTCAATATAAACAACACTAAATCAACGAAGGTGTTGAAATCTGGCTGAACAATGAAGAGTAACAGAATGACTTACAAGAGACAATTAGTCTAACGCATCGTACACCAAACAGCTGATAAACCTGAAACAGGCTAAATTCAAGAGTTGAGATTGCCTCTCTTGTGTACTCGTTTGCCTTATATATGGATACAAATTGCACCTGCGGCCATTCAACTTGAACCTTTAGACATGCTACTAATTCTTATCTCAGAGGTCAGTATGCAATTTTTGCGCATTCAACCCAACAGTGGAATAATATTTGACAATCGGTTGACGTTACCGGGTGCGATATACCAATTTGTATTGGGAAATTAATTTCGTAAGGAATATTCTTGGAACATCTTCCAATAGTTCGTTTAGTTCACTGTATTTATGATCACTTGTCCCCTCAGCCGCCGTATTCTCAGCGTTTGGAACTCCAACGCTCTCTTCGTCAACCTCAAATTAGCATCTCTCAACCACTCATACAAGATCAACCCTTCTTAGTTCACGCCCTCCTCCAAGACCATTACCACCACGTGGTTATTTACCACTCCCTTTTTCCTCCAAACTTCAACTGTATGAACTTTGGAAACGAATCTAAGTGTCGCATATGTTAAATTTTATTAATATTATGGCAAGCTATTGTTTAGCGATGTTTTCTGTTACTACTTTTCGGTCATGACGGGCCCCGGTTACATTATGAAGTTTTCTGATAATACCTTCGAAGGGCCTACAGTGACTCGTTTTAAATGACTACTATACTGCTTATTGGACAAAAATTGATAAGTGTAGTGTGTGAGTCACATTTAAATGCCAAGACCAAGGCAACAACTTGGGTAGCTCATCCCTTTTCTTTCATCAAGCGAGTAGCTCACCTCTTTTTACAGTTGAGCCTTCAGTCCACGTAAATAACGTGGCCATTCTTTACCTGAAGAATCGAGCCAGGTGCCGTAGGGGTACTAGTGTCACGAAGTGACCATACGACCATTTCATCAGTCGCGTTCATCACGCGACATTTCTGGTCAAAGGACTTGACAGGAAGAAACCACAGAACGCGCTAAGACGGCGCCATCCCCACTCTCGATCCCTACTAAGTGACAAAAGGATTGGTCGGCCTCTATTGCGCCTCCAGCCCTCCGAGGAGAAGGTCACTCTAGCACACGCCGCCTTTGGGCCGCTGACGGACGCCATCATGATCTTCTTCAGACTGGTATGGAAGTTGTGGCGCAACCGCCATACGGCAGAACCTTAACCGGATTGGAGAAGCACTTCTCATTTTACTTTGTATACAGTCACTCAATTAACTACTTCATTAATTACTAAATGTAATTCATCTCCATTTCAAGAACTTCAGTAAAATTAAATTATGTTGCTTTAAAAGAACCTATATTATGTTCTCTGGCTAAATGATTAAATAAATAACTTTAAGATGTTAAAACAAATCTAGTGTTTGTATGATTGCATTCCTGTGTAAGACCTTCCTTGCCAAGAGTTAGGTCGTAACGCTCCCAGGTAGCCTCCTCTCACGCCAAGCGAGTCTGAGTTACGATCATCTCATGGTACCAGTACGTATCAGTCTATATTCAATGAACTACAAAATCATCTCGGTTTGCGTGGCATCTCCTGGCCACTCTCTGTTCACGACATCAAACGTTTCGAACAACAAAATCCAAATTATTCTTTTCATGTTTTCAATCTCGTTTGGCATTCTGAAAAGAAAATGTGGGATGTTGTAGGTCCTGTACATTTTGCAAAAACAAAAAAAGAGAATAATTTCAATATGTTGTTATATGCATCAAAGGACGTGAATCACTATGTTTGGATGAAAAATTTAAGTAGGTTGGTGAGTAACCAACATAATACGCATGGACATGCGGTTTTCGCTTGTGAGCGGTGTCAAAATTTATTTAGATCACAGGCAAAACTCGATGCTCACATGATTGATTGTAGTGGCGCCAGCACGACTGGTATTACCGTCTTCGCCATCAGAACAATTTATGCGCTTCAATAATCACGAAAAACTACAGAGATGTTCGATTGCAGTTAAAATGGACGGGGAGGGGGGAATTGGAAGGGGTGGGGTATTGATGGCAGACGATAGATATGAAGAAGAGGAGGGGGTTTGTACGAGGGTGGGGATGAGGTATGGGTGGGGTGGTTTGTATGCAGTCCAGGCGAGGAGAGGCGAGATCAAATTCACATGTACAACGAACATGAGACTTAATGAAGAGTTTCTTCGAGATTTAGTTCGAAGTGTACAGCAAGAGGTATACAATGATGAAACCAGTGATGAGGAGCTCTCCAGGGACATAAAACGAGAGATTGGAGAGGAGCCATTTACTGATGTAAGTAATGATAAACGAGAGTTACCTATTGGAAGTGATAGAAGTGTAACACAAACCGTATCCAGAGACACAGCAGCGCCAAGCCACGCCAGCAACACCGTTGCAACCGATTAGAGGACGCCAAGCCACGCCAGCAGCACGTTGCAGCCGATCAGAGGACGCCAAGCCACGCCAGTAGCACGTTGCAACCGATCAGAGGACGCCAAGCCACGCCAAGCAGCACGTTGCAGCCGATCAGAGGACGCCAAGCCACGCCAGCAGCACGTTGCAGCCGATCAGAGGACGCCTAGCCACTCCAGCAGGACGTTGCAACCGATCAGAGGACGCCAAGCCACGCGAGAAACACCGTTACAGCCAGAGAAGATGAAGGAACGAAACCAATGGATTTATGAGATGGATTGGCAGTGGAAGGAAAGCAATGGATAATGGAGGTAGAAAACCAAGATGATGAAGATGAAATAATGGAGGAAGATGATGAAATAATGGAGGAAGATGAAGAAGCTCATGGTGGAGTAATCAGAGAAGTAACCTGTGGTGATGTAACAAGTGATGAAACCGTAACCACGGTTGTCACAGTCATTTATGACTTTGGGTCATGATTAGAGGTCACGCAAAGCTAAGTTGTGCGCAGTGTGCAAAGTCACCAAGCCTGATGACCAAGCCCTGAGGAAACTTCCTCCTATAGGGTGTAAGTAGTCCCGATCCCTCTCAGCGAGTTGCTCTCCTATAGAATGTCACATAGCTATGCCACCCCTGTCATACCATGACAGTTCTACCCAGTTGTGATGTTACCTACGAAGAAGGAAACTGGGATAAAGAATATGAAAATGAAGAAACGAATGAAGCAACCATTGATTCCGAAGAAAACTGCGATAAAGAATATCAAAATCAAGTGAGCAACAAAAAAAAGAGTTCCAATAATATTGAGGAAATTGCAGTCGAATTTCTACTAGGAGATAAAATATGTGGATTGGCATATCCGAGAAGTAAATACATATCTTACGCAAAAAAATATACCCTAAGGCTCATATCACTTTAGATGAACTAAACGATAGGCTTTTAGGAACTACCTTGTTAAAAATCACGGGGACTATTTATTATGACACATCTAGAGCACCGCCTCAAGACGAGTCATATGATTTTAAACATTTTATTGAATCACACCAAAAATATAAACTACAGAATATTCCCGAGATTGAACATTCATATTTGAGAGCAGGTCGCGCATTTAAAGCAGGAATTGAATACGTGATATCCCGGCCATTAAACCATAATATGAGCAATAAAATACACTTC